CTTTCCCTTGTCCTCGCTGTACAGTGAGAGGTGGTCAGTCAGGAAGGGCTGCATCCAGGACTCTCCTCTTTATGTTCAGTCTCCTCCACTGTCATCCAGATCTCTAAATTCTGAAAACACGATGAAGGCAGTCAGCTGAGAGTGGAGAGGCGGCCAGTATTTGACCCATGTCAACTTTTTAAACTAAAATGCTGTTTTAAAATAAAATGTTTTAAACTCTGATCGACTTCTCAGTAAATCAAGAAACATCTGTATGCAATAACCCTGGATACCTCTCCATGAAAGACCCGTGTTTTGTTATGTGTATAAATAGTAAGAAAGATGCATTTTGTCTCATATTGGGAGAGAAATGGACATAATCCCATGGTTTTGAACTCTAAATATGAGCTATAATAGCACTTCACAGTCTTTTATCTGAACAGATCCAAATCAACTCTTAGAAGAAACTCTCATTCTCAGAAGAAGTGGTGGAGATTTCTCTTGGATTCCGATCCTTTGCCTGTGACTTCGGCTGAGTTATGAGCTGAAGAGTTCATTGAGACAGGATGAGGATAGCCAGGGAATATTATCCCTGTCTCTTTTGTTAGCTATTCTTGATTTTCCCTTTACCAAATCCATGCTTTTCCCTGTCTGTCCCATCCTAGACTCTGCTAGTCCAGGCCCTGTCACCCGCATCACCTCTGCTTCCTTTGCTTTCTGTCATCTTGGTGAGTCCAGCCTCTATGTCGAAACTGACAAGGGATCTATGGGCAGGAAGAGAGAGCAGCTTGGTGCTTCTTCCTTGCCCTGCCTACTCATCTGTGGTGGTTCCAAGTTTGGCAATCTCTTTCCAATTGTCGCTCTCTGAGAAGTCCTTCCACAGCTCTAGCTCCCACAAAGACCCAGGAACATGATCTTTCACCCCTGTTCCTTCAGACTGGGATTCACAATGACTCCCCATTGTTATTAACAAGTCTCTGGATGTCCCCACATGGGCAACTGGTTCCATAACCAGTTGCTTTCTGTCTTCTTGCTCACCTTGAATAGTACCTGTGGAAATCACATCTTGTTATTGCTCACCTGTGGGTCTCTCAACATCTCTTTCTGATTATCTTGACCATCCCTACTTCTGTGAGTCTTACCTTTATAAAAACTTTCAAATTTGATTTGGATTCTATTTCTGCTATAATCTTGACTCTTATCTCTCTCATTCCCTTGCCCAGGTAATTATTCTTCTATGATACAAAATTCTAAATGCTGTGGGATTCTGTGAGCTTGGTCCACCTGATGTATACCTTGTATATTTTCATAGGTTTTCATGAGGTACATTTCTCTCAGTGTATCTAGATGAGTACATCTTAATATTCTTAGTTTGTTCTGTTCGTTGCAACTTTTCTCCATTCTGTTCGCTAATCTCAGAATGTGATTTTTTCCTAGACCTGGTGGCTTCAAAATGACACCTGATATGTGTACATGCATGCCCAAAATCCTGAGAGGAGACTGGAGGAGAAGGGATTGCAGTGTAGCCATCTTCGCTGGGAAATGATTTCTTACTTTCCCTCTCTTATCTCTCTCCTGTGAATGCATGCGCCCAATGGCAAAAACAAAAACCAAAAATAGTCATTAGCTTGAGTTTTCTAGTTTTGTCATTCTAATATAATGGGAATTTATGTGTAGAAATACCATTTAAACAATAAGTAATCATACCATTGTGAGGTGCTATTGTTCTTGTCTATACCTGAATTTATTTAAGAAATACTATACACAGACACTGTGCTAGGTCTGGGAATATTATAATAAAATATAATCAATTTTCAGAGAAAGATGTCTCCATGGTGAGCTGAGAGTCTTCTGCTTTAAAAATATTCCCTGTATTAATTGGGGCTCTCCAGAGAAACACCGCAAATAGGATATATAGAGGTGCATAGAGAGAAATGATGTGGTATTGGCTCCCAGGGTTATGAAGACTGAGAAGTTCCATGACATGCTGTCTGCAAACTGGGGACCCAGGAGAGCTGATTGTCAGAGTCTTAACCTGAGTACAAAGGACTGAGAACCAGAGTGTCAACATTTGAGGGCAGGAAGATACGAATGTTCCAGCTCTAACAAAGACAGCAATTCGTCCTTTCTCCATATTTTGTTCTATCTAGATCCTCTGGATTTGTGAAGGCAGATTTTCTTTACTAGATCTACTGACTAAAATACTAATCTCTTCTGAAAACACACTCTCAGACACACTAAGAAATAATGTTTTACCAGCTTTCTGGAAATTCTTTAAGCCAATCAAGTTGACACATAAAACTAACCAGCTGCCCTCATGTCTGGACAAATTCAAACCAAAACCAAAAAATAAGAAATAAAACAATAAACAAAAGACATGTCTGCATTATTTTGCCATCATACCACTCTCACGTTGTTCTAGAATATGAACTATGAAATGGAATAATGATCACAATTTAATAGTTAAGGTTTTTAAACGCTAATACCCACCAGGCACTTGTCCTGATATTTAACTTCTACTGCTTTCTGGTGAAAGCTTGTATTATTCCCTGAGAAAACAGATTTAGAGAAGTCATTATTGGTTAATGCCAGACTGGACATTTAATAGCTTGAACTTAAAAAATAAAACTTTTTATTAATGTTAAATATATTTATATCTCTGTTTCTAGTTAGGATGTAGAAAGTATAAGAAACCTTCATTCTCATTCTAACCATCAAACTAAGCCTGAAAAAGTATAAAAATCATAGTTTAAAAACAAAAGAAAACAATTCAGAGAGCTGAGAATGTGGAAATCTAAATGAATTAAACTACAGAAGGTGGGTGCTTTTGTCCTTCCGAAAGTGGAAGATGAAGGAGTCTACTGCAGAGAGGGGCAAGGAGAAATAAGCCAACATTTTAAAGAGCCTTTAAGGGCACGAGCTGGCTGGCCTGGAGACTGGCTGCTGCTAGGACAAGTCTCTACTCCTCCATGACTGCTTCCCCATGTTTATTCACGTGGTGCACAGGGGTGGCCTGAAACCTTGGGAAAGAGCTGGAGAGTGGAGACAAAACCCTCTGATGTATTTTGGGTTTTCACTGCATATAACTCAATAGTTCTGTGATGACTGAAAAGGCAGCAGGAAAGAGAGAGTTTGCTCGAGGTGCAAAAAGCTGAGTGCAGATACAGAGAGCAAAGAGAACTCCCCAGTGACTCATGATATTGTGGCCACACTGTAAAGAGAGAGATGTCCCACATTTTGGAACAGAGGCAATTCTGGTTGTAAAGCACAAATAGACCCCTGGAACTTTTCCAGTGCTCAGATCCCAAATTCTGCTGAAAGAAAGTCTTGATCTTACCCTGAATGAAACTAATGGTGCAACAAATGCAAGAACTGATGCTATGAAGCCTTAGACTTTGAGCTGCATTCTGCTTCCCTTAAGACAATATGGCTGGACTGTAAATTAGCCTGAATCACACTTCACTTTCACCACACACACGCTACAGCCTAACAGTGTGTAGAAGAAGGAATATAGACTTTTGGAGAGCAAATTTTATTTAATTTGGTTTCTATTATTCTTTTATATAAGTCACCTAGTACACAATAAAAGAATTATGAAGCCCCACCATGTCCTTTCTGGTCACTACCTGTCCTTCCAGGAAACCCATAAATAGCTTTGCCTGTTTCAAAACCTTCTAACTGGGACCAACAGTTAGCATAATGGCTATGTCACCAGACTCCCACGTAGTCGACCGCGGTTTGCATCCGGACCCGGTGGCTTAAAACTCATACCCGGCGCGTGTGCGTGCGTGCCCAAGATCCCGAGAGGAGAATGGAGGAGAAGAGATTGCGGTGTGGCCATCCCCCCTGGAGCGTGATTTCTCCCTTTCTGTCTCTCTGTCTCTGTCTGTCTGGTGAGCGCACATGCCCTATAGCAAAAACCTCTCCCAAAATAAAATAAAATAAAATAAAACTTTATAACTGGATTCATAGAGTTTTAATTCTTTCCTATCTGGATCTTTCTCTCAATATTGTATTCCTAAGATTCATCCATATCATGCACAGTTTGTTTGTAATTGCTTTGCTATATGGATATATTAGAGTTTATTTAGCTAGCTATTTAATTGGCTATTTGGACTATTTCAGACTTTGGGTATAATTAACATAGTTGTGAATATCCTTGTGCATGTTCTTTGATGAACACATATTCACATTTCCATTGGGCATATGTCTTTAGTAGAACATCTAGGTTAAAAGGTATACATTTATCTAGCTCTAATTCCTCCCCTACTAATGCCTTCAAAAGAATATTAATGGGAACCAGCAGTTAGCGTAATGGCTATGTTGCTGGACTCCCACGTAGTCAACTGCGGTTCACATCCCGGACCCGGTGGCTTAAAAAACTCACGCCGGGCACGTGTGCGTGCGTGCCCAAGATCCCGAGAGAAGATTGGAGGAGAAGGGATTGCGGCGTGACCATCCCCTCTGGGGAGTGATTTCTCGCTTTCTGTCTTTCTCTGTCTGGCGAGCGCACGCGCCCTATAGTGAAAAACCTCTCTCAAAAAAAAAAAAAAAGAATATTAATGACCTCTGTGTTGTAAATCAGCAGATACCAAAATCTGCAGCT